ATTAAACTCGTTTTGTGCCTAAAAGGTAACATTCGGGGCAGCCGGTTCGTTCCCTAATCGGGTTTTTCTGTGCGGCGGTGTGCAACCTTTTAGGGTGCTTCGACGTTGCACTTTTCCCAAGGCAGCACTCTCTCTTCGCCCAGCCTGTGCTTTCCCCGGATGGTTCGTCCTCATCGTGCTGATTCTCAGATCCCGGCCCGTGGAGGTGGAGCAGCCCTGGAGGTCCATTTGCACTTGCTGGCTCGTTATGATTGCCTTGTTCGGGTGTTTTTGAGCGTTGGGCATTTTCCTTCCGCTGCTTATCCCAGGACGTGTTGGGCTTTTCAGTAAGCCCGACTTCTGAGTTGCATTCCTTCAGGCGGCACCTAACCAGTTAGGTTCTGGGTTTTGGGGTCTGTCTTGGTGGTGTTCCGGCCTACCTTAGATATTTTCCTTCCCTGCCATGGGTGCTTCCCTGACCCCGCAAAGTGCGTATTTCAACAGAGCTCGGCCCTGTTTCTGTCCCTTTTGGAGGTCCTTCTCTTTGAGATTCCAATCGCACTCCCTCTCCTCCTGCACGGCTCCGGCTGTTGGCACTTCAGATGCGAGTCGGCCTGCTTACTCTGCCGTGATAACATGGGGTCCTTACAGCTGCGCTTGGATTCGTCTGCACTTCGAGGCCATCGGGCTTCCTGGCCCCTGGAGCTTTCCCCCTAGGCGTCCATGGCCCAGAACGGCAGTGCATATCAGGAGTCAGTGAATCCTTACGGATCAGTACATCACAGTGCATCGGGATATCGTCTTCTTCAGAGCCTGTGCCACCCGGCACTCATATCAGCTTTGTCTTTGCTGTTTGTCCTTTTTTCCGGGTTTCTTGGGCCCAGGGACTTTGAGTGGCATCCCTGTCCACTGTCCACGCAGTAACGTTTCCTTTCTTCTCGCAGCACTTCGGCTCCTGCCACTCCCGAGCGCATCCGCTCACGGCCACCGGGGCTGCTGGTCCTGGGAGCTATTCTTCAGCGCGTCCGTGGCTCAGAGCGGCAGTGCCTTTGTTCAGCACTCGTGACCCCACGTTGATCAGTGCTTCGCTTTGGGTCACCAGGGTACCCCCCTTTTTCTTTCCTCTGCAGAGCTTGTCCCGCCTGCAGCGCCTATGGGACGTCACTTGCGTTGGTGTTCTTTCCTGGAGCTTTTGGGTCCAAAGACTTTGAGTGGCTTTCCCTCCACCTTCGACTCTCCCAGGTGCCTTTCGGCCGTTCTCTCCCTCGCCGAGGGGGGTGGAACATTCTCTCAGCTTTGCCAGTTATGTCGTCCCAGGACGTGCCCCTGTCGGACGCGCGTTTCAACCAGATCCACAACACCGCGGCTGGGCCACTTTGGACGGCTTTGACCAAGGATCGGTCCTTTGCCTCCGCTAGGCAAATCCTAGCGCATAACTGGAAGGCGCGCTGGAGTGTCATCCGCCTCGAGAACGACTTAGTCAAAACCCTCCTGGACGCCTTGGCCCAGCATCCTGAAGAGCGGGCTCTCTTTGTCCACAACCTGGCCGAACTGTCGACGGAATCTGAGTCAGAGGAGCTTCCTCCCACTGAAGCGCCCGATAAAATGCAGGGGTGAGCCCTCTCTTGGGCCTGTGTGGCTTTCCGTCATGCGTGCTTTGTTACGCATCTTTTGCCGTAGTTAGCACTCATGGGCTTTGCGGCGCTGCGGGAGCCAAAACCTGGCCTTCAAACAGCCAGTGTATCTATGCTTTTTCCTTTGTGCTGTTTCACTATTCGATAAGCACTCCGTGCTTCTGCGCCTGGGCTGGTCTTTCTGGGCTTACTCCGTGAGATCGTGCAGCTGACCTCTGGCCCTTCCTTTCATGTCTTCTCGCACCAGGGACCTCCCCGCCTCCCCGTTGGGGCTTTTCTCTAGCATTTGTCTAGCAGATCTCACGTGCTCGGACAGCCTGCCGACTTTGGTGCCTGCGGTGAAGAAATGCCCGTGTGCAGTGTGGGTTTCTTCACTGATCTGGGTTGTCGGCACCTGCGTTTGTCTTTACATGGGCTTTGTTGGGATCTTCACGGTTTGCTCCCTTTTTGGCTTTGTGTGCCTAGGCTTTGGCTGATTCCTGCCGCCAAAGTTGAATGGAGCATCGCCCCCGTTCTCTTCCGCAGGCACGGCCATTTATTGTGATTTGGGTTTCCTTGATTGCTTTTTTGGCAGCAGGGACGGGACATGGTCTCCGTTTTTGTCAGGGAGGACGGCCGGCCTCTTAGCCTCGCCGGTAAGAAAAGCCTCTGAAAAATCTCCGGGCTTTGACACACGGTCAATCAAGTCGTTTGGTCACCGCATTTCTGCACATCAGCCCTTTCCTCCTGAGGACTTGACATTTTCCTTTGTTGGGGGCCAGCGCGCGTTTGGGCAAGGAGAATTGCTCCATGCTTGTTCGGGTTTTCAGGGTGACGCATCCATCCCCGCACTCACCCTAGGTCTTGGACTTTCTGTGGCAGGCTTTGCGAGGCTTCTCTATTGATGCGTTCAGTCCCCGCGGGGAGGTTCGTCATGCCGGCTCAGGTAGATTCCTACGTGCGCGTGCGAGCTTTCTCGCTCTTGCTTTTAGGCAATGTCCCTACGCCCTAGGGCTCCTCGCACAGGTCACAGGTTGTGTTTTCCAAAGTGTTGGGATAGGGTTCTTGGCGCTGGTTTTTGTCAGCTCCGGTGTGCAACCATGTCAGGAGACATGCGCCGCCCAGTGGTTCGGATCCGCAGTATCGTCCTTGGCAAAAAATGATAATAAATGAGCGGACGCGATGCTTTTCACAGGGTGTTTCCCTGCTTTTCCGGTGGCAGGTCAGCCAATCTCCTTTGTTTATGGACGATTCAAGAGAGCAGCGCGCAGTGTAACAGCCATACCTTCTTGCCTTCTTTCTTATCACGGCCTCTGGCTCTCGTGGCTCTCAGGGGGCTGTAGAGCTCTGCGTGTGACCTTGCATTTGAACATGGAACATTTTGCATACCTTTTCAGAACATCACTTTGGGTTGGGGTCCGACAGCCGCATATATCTGTCCGCGGGTCGTGCACATGGATCGCCCCGACGAGGTGGCCTTTCTGAGGGAGGAAGTCTCCCGTCTGCGGCATCAGGTTGCCATTCTGCAAGGGGACCTTTCGGGAGCTCATCTGACTACAGAGGGGCTTCTTGCACGTGTCCTCACTCTGGAACAGTCGTCCAGTGGGCACACGGTCCGTTTGTCTGACATGGAGGCCGACCTCGAGCTCTGCAACAGTCGTCTGGCGGAGGTCCAGGCCTCTTTGTGCGCAGTTATCCAAGGTATTGGATCTGTATTTTGCTCCATGCTTCGACAGTTGGGCAATCGGCCCTGACCACGACTTTCGCCTACTACATCTTTGTCGGGCATCACAGGGCGAGACGGCTTCCTGCATGGGTCTGGTCATACGGCTCGCTCTCTCCAGAGCATGAGTGGTTTTGGTTTTGCGCCTGGCGCTTTTGCGTAGCTTTGGCTACATGACAATTCTTCGCTTTGGCCATCCCAGTGAACTGGGGGGCATGCCTGGCACGTCTTCGCTCACTGTTAAAATTGGGCTGTTAGGTGCGAGCTTTGACTTTGCCAGTGTTAATTTGGTGGTATGCTCAGATTCTCAGCTTTGGCGTAATTCATCCGCTTTGCATTGTGCTTCGAACTCTGAGCTGCATTTCCGGCAAAGTCAAAAAGAAAGGAGTGAGGGCTCGTGGTCGAGTGCTTTTGCTTAGCCTGGAGTTTCTTAGGGCTAGTTGGTGGCTTTGGTAGTGTGGCTTGAACTAGCAGTGAACGGTTCATGTGTTTACTCATGTCTGTTTACTGTTTGTGAAAGAACACCGTACTTTGTTGCTTTCGGTTCAAGCCACACACCAAATTGTGCAGCTTACATTGCATCGCTTAGTAGCTTTGTTTTTGTCCCACCCACCACTCCCATTCTGAAGACACTTTCCTTCAGTTTTGGGACGGGTCTCTGGACCTTCGTACAGCTGGAGCTCGCTCCGTTTTTCACCCGTCTCACAGGAGTGCTTGTTTTCCTTTGTCTCGACACGGCTTATACTCGTATTGCTTTCCTTTGGAGCGTGTCAGCCCGATCAGACCTTCAAATTTTGGAAGGGGCTCGAGTCCTTTGGACGGCTGGAGCTGGCTTCGTTTCACGAGAATCCACAAGATTGCTGGTTTTCCTTGGTCGGGGTTTGTTCTGCTTTGTCCTTGTTTTTGCTTTCCGGGTGGTATGCTCAGATTCTCAGCTTTGGCGTAATTCATCCGCTTTGCATTGTGCTTCGAACTCTGAGCTGCATTTCCGGCAAAGTCAAAAAGAAAGGAGTGAGGGCTCGTGGTCGAGTGCTTTTGCTTAGCCTGGAGTTTCTTAGGGCTAGTTGGTGGCTTTGGTAGTGTGGCTTGAACTAGCAGTGAACGTGAAAATTTTAGGCTCTTTCTCAACGGGGCTTGGGCCTTTCAAACCAGGTTCTGTGTAATCGTGGCTCTCCGACGTTTGACCACTAGGGTCTCTGTGCACGCTGGCTCCCGTGGGGGGCTAGCAGATGGAGGTGCCCGAACAGGTTGCTGCAGGTATCGAGGCTGCCAGCTCCGCTGAGGATTCGTCCGTGGGCACTCTGAGCCACCTTGAGTGGAGCCACATTGGCTTGCGGCGCCAGTTCCGCAGCTTGGTGCGTGTGGTTATCCAGCTGTCCAATCGATTGGACTCTCTCGAGGCCCTCTTTGCCCTGGGCTCTGCTTTTCACGCGTGGCATCTAGCCCTTCCTCGGTTCCATTCCTCGTAGTTTGGGGGTGGTTTTCAGCTTTTTGCAGTCCACCTGTCCGCACTAGTTCTTTCGAAACGCCCGTCAGCCGGACGGCTCTTTCTCCACACGCTTGACAGCGACGTATCCCCAGTCCCTGGCTGAAGCCATTGCCGCGCTGTGCGTGCCTTTTTTATCCGTGCAGGACACCGTTTATACACAGGAATCGTGGCTTACTCTTCTTCCGCCAAGGTTGCCATGGCCTGTTCAGCACCTGTTGAAGACGGAGCCGGCTGCTCCAGCACCGCGTACCACGTCACGCCTCAAGGCGACGACCTCTTCCGGCCGCTCCGTCGTGCCTGGCTGCAGCGTCTTGCCAACTCCGGACTCGTCCACAAGATTGTGTCCGCCATCTCATCCGGCGCCAAGGCTCCTCCGCTGTCGCCAGGACCGCTAACGCCCTTCTTTGGTGACCTTCGCTCGTTTCTGCATGTCGAGTCCGACGACACTTGGGCACACCTGCGGCAAATCACACCAGGACAGCCTTTCCGCATCTCCCTCTGGCACGCTCTGTCTTTGTTATTTAAAGATCCTGATGTGGACCTGTTCCCCCACTTGCGCAATGGCGTTCCGTTGGGTTTCGCTCAGCCGATCCCGCCGTGCCCCGTTCTGACTCCGCTCTCGGAACCGACCGCCCGGCCCCAGAACTTTGCCATGATTGTGAGTCCGCTTGGAAATCCGCTCTGGATCATCCTGAGCTAGCGCAAGGTTGGATCTGTGAAGTCCAAGGTGGGGATACTGAACTCAAGGCCCGCTTCCGCCACTCCGCCGTTGGGAAACTCGGCCTTGTCCTTTCCGAATTTCGTCCACCGCGTCTCGTGGTTGACAGCTCTATCTCCGGTGTCACCGCCATCACCGCCGCCTTAAAATTTTGCCTGCTGACCAAGGTCTGCTCTGTTTCCGCCGTCGCGGCCGCCTGTACCAGTGCCTGACGCTCAACTTCGGTGCTCGTGCATCTGGCTTTTACTGGTCTCGCGTAGCCGGACTCCTTGTACGTCTCATTCACCAAGTCTGGTGGGTGAGCCACTCGCGTTAATCTACGTTGATGATCTGTTGTGCCTGCTGGAAAAGAACTCCGCCCCGTTGCTGGCTTCCGTTCTGGTCGTTCTCCTGCAGTTCTGAACGTGCCGATGAGCTGGCGCAAAGCTAAACTCTCCGCGTCCGTGGTTTGGATCGGTTGGCAGTTCGATTTCCGCACTTACACGGTTCGCCTCGAGCCCGAGAAGCTTCAACGCCTGCTCACTCTCCTTCATGAATCCCGCCAAAGCAACAAATTGCCGACTTCTACCCTTGAGAAGTTGACTGGCAAGCTGCTGTGGCTCTCCAACCTGTTCCGTGCCTTCCGGCCGTCACTGGCTCCTCTGTATCAGGACCAGTGCTGCCCCCCACTCGTGAGCATCCCCCTTTCACCTGCTGCCTGGAAGCGCTTGACGCAATGTCTGTCGGAGGATTTGGTTGTGCTCTCGCGGCGGCTGCGGTCGAGCCTCCTCAGCAGTACATAGCTGCCTGGGAGTTGCTCGCCCAGTGTGGTCTCCTGCACCTGCATCCACGTGACCTTCCGCTGCGACAACTCTGCCGCTGACTCGGCTGCCTGGAAAGGCCTCTCGCTTGCGCGCGGCGTCAGTTCCTTGCTGCGTTCCTTCTTCTTGCTGCAAGAACGTCAGTTTATTTCAGTCCATATTGATCATGTGCCTGGTTTCCGTAACGACTTTGCAGATAGCCTCAGCCGAGGTTAGGATCCTTCTCTGCTTGGTTTCCAGCCGTCCGAGCGTTGCGATGTGCCCTGGGCAGCCTTCCCATCCTCATTCTGCACGTGCACGTACCCACTGGAAAAGGACCTTTCCGACTATTTGGCTCCCGCTTGAAGAATGCTGGCCTGCTGTACCCCTGTCGGGTCAAGCCGAAGCCTGAAACCATTGGAGAATCCGTCCAGCATTCTTGTGTGGCCTGCCGACCTGCCAGTCTCTTCGACTCTCTTACTTCGCGGATCTGCATCCGCATCTGCACCAACGAGTCAAAAGAAGGGAGCGTTTAGCTGGTGCTTCTTTTTGTTGCTGTTCGAGTACATTCGTAACGGACTAGTGCTTGCAGGGGCGTTTACAGGATCCTTGTCAAACGCGCGCGCAGACTGGCGGTGAAAGTTGTTAGTCGTACTTAGTGCTTTTTGTTGTACTCATCGTGAATCGTGAAGTGGGCAGAAGTTCAGCAGTTTTGCAGTTTTGCTGAACACTGAGTTTGCAATTTGCAGTGCAGTGACAACAGATAGGTACTACGGTTCTACAATACGGTCGGTGCGGTCAGATGAGTACTTCATATTGCTTGTCAAAGTACATCGAGAATCGAGCCAGGCTCGGCTCAAAGGCAAGCAGCTTGCGCTGCGCCACGACTGACTCATCCATTATTCGATAGTTTGCAGATTTATGATTTATGTTCCAGGCGAAAAGAAAAAAGTCCTGCCTGTGCACGCTTTTCTAATTTCGTAGTATGGTAGGCGTGTAGAATAGAACACTGCAGGTTTTCATTTTCTGTGTGTTTCATTCTGCGTCCTCAAGCCCACTTGCAGTATTTCAATGTAGCGGTTCGCATCGAAACCCCGCCTGGGCCCACTTTCTCTGGGCATCCGTCCAATCGGTTCGTAAATGAGCCAGGCGGTCGAACACATCAGGAGCCAACCTAGGGTTTACCCAATGTGCACGCATGGTGCTCAATCGTGAAAAAGTTGCTAATGATTTCTCAGTGTATATGTGAGAGCGATACCTGCCCCATGGTACGAAACATTTGGCGGCGGCTTTCCCCGGCAACCTTGGCAGAGACCATGGCGGAGGCCCGCGGTCTGGCGAGTGCAAAGCGCCGCTTTTCTCGAGCTTCACTATGTGTAATCATTCATTGCATGATCTTTTTAGTTTTTTCAGCCCCCAAACACGACAAAACTTGAGCCACTAGAACGGCATAAACTCAGGTTTTTGGAAGGCGGTGAGCAAGGGCTACCCCATCATCCAGCGCATCCCAGAGCAAACATCGCAGGAGCGTACCGCCTACTCCTCGGACTTTTTGTGCCCTGCAGACTTCATTTTTAGTCCAGGGCCGGTTGAGGTTTGTAGGTTGTTAGGGTTTAGGATGGCGACTTATGCTGCAGTTAGCAGGGCAACATGCGTTGGAACACGTGTTTTGAAACCAAAACCCCAAACTGCAGTTTCAGACGTTGGAGTTTACTGTGATTTTAACATCGGGCCTGGTTGGAGGCGGTGTAAAAAACATTTCACGGTGGCTGTAGCCGGCATGCACTGTTTTCTGCTTGTGACGTGTTGGCCGCTCTCATTTGGTCTTTCCTCCGCGCAGGTACACGCTTACCACAGATCGTCTTCGGATGGATGCTTTCCGGCGGGCGGTTGCCCGCTTTAGGGCACACCGGGTTCTGGACATTCCACGCTGTGTTGCGCATGGCTGCAATTCCTGCATGTGGGCAAGCTGCAAGAAAAAGTTGTGCAAACACATGGCAAGCACTCTATGAGGAGATCGGTTGTGGACCTTGGACACCATTGGCAGCTCAGTAGAACCTTACTCTGCAAACTTTTGCAAAGGACACACCTGCGATTCGTGCTTGTGTTTTGACTGTTTTGACTAATTTTCTTTCAGGTAGATCTTTGCTTGCAAAGCGGTGCGTCCAAGGTGCGGGAGGGTCGGGGTCAGAGGTGCGAGAGGGGTCAGTGGCGTCAAAGGGCCAGAGAGGTCAGAGAGGTCAGATGGTCAGCTACTGTTCTTAAGTGACCACTTCTTCAACATCGTTCTATTGGGGCGATTGCAGTCGGCATGCTTTCTAGCGTAGTCTAGCGTCAACGCCTTTCGGACCGTGCCAAGAAGCAGGCAGCACAGCTCAGAAGCAAGCATTGGCGATCCACCAGAAACACTTGCATCCGCGTCGGCTTTGAAGCCATGATCATTCATGACACAACGAACTAAGGCCCACTAATGAGTGAATGAGTCACTGCAGGTGGTGGCCGTGGAGGCCTGCGCAACGCATGCGGAGCTGGCTCGCCGACGCCTGAAGGACGCGGAGGCCGTGCAGGCAGCAGCCGTGCAGAGGTATCCTGCCGGCCCCTGGCCCCGGCCCACTCTTCGGAGGTCCTGCAGGCGTAGAGCCGTGGAGATGTGTGGAGTGTCCCCGTATGTGCGCACTTAGCGGCTAGTCCCGGGGGCTATGCTATGGTCTAAATTCGGTATCAGCTGGAGGTCATCAATGGCCGCGCTGCAGACCTTCCGAGTGAGGTCCTGCTGGCGGGATTGGGAGGAGCCTTGGATGCAGGGTTGCCGACATGGCGTGCCAATACCATGTGTGACATGTTCTGACGGGTTCGGGAGAAAGAACATTCTGAAGGCTTCCAGGCTCGAGAGCTTTTGCCGGGACTTTTGCGCCACATTGCCCCCCCCCCCCCCCAAAATGCCCCCATCAACAGCCACCTCGAAGCCCTGGAGGCCCTCCGCAGCTCATCGTTTCGGAGCTCTTGGGCTACACGGCCGCTCGGCAGTTGTTGTGCATTTGCTGTGTGCTCGGCTTTGGCTCTTTGATCTGCTGCGGGATGTTGCGAGGGATCCGTTTACTAGGGGGCAATCTCCCGTTGAGAGCTGCCACTGCAAATCTTGCTCACTCCCATCCTATAGCGAAATTGTATGCTATTGCATGGTATTGCATGCTGTTGCATGATATTACATGATGTCATATGCGCACCTGCGAGAGACAATTGCTGAGTCAACGTGTTGTGATGGCGGTGCCTGAAGTGCCCGAACGACAAATCACAGGCAAAGGTTTGAGCTGTCCTTTTCTCTGATGTCCTTCCTGCTCTTGTGGTAGACACTACGTGAGCAAACACACCCTGCACAGCAGGTGACTTGGGCGTGAAAACGAGGGTCATATTTTGCTGCATGTGGAGAGGGGCCACAATGTCATGGCGTATGAAAAGCCGTATTCGGTGCAGTGCTCTTGGAACACCCGGGTTGGGTTGGAGACGGAGGAATAATTTGCATTGCTACGCTTCTGCCCAAAATGTTCGTGTATTATTTTCACGTATCTTCTTTTATTTTGTTTGCGGTGGGCTCCTTTGGAGCGGCAGATTTTGCAAACACTGTCTGATCATTGTCAATTTCTCAAGGACGCGAAGCAGCAGACGCGACTCAATCTCATGCCTGCTCAGACTTGTGTACTCGCAGCTACAAAGCACCTAGACATGGATCCTTGCCCCTGACCCGAAGACAGAAGTTGACTGGGGGAAGGAGAAGAGGAATCGGAAGACTGGAGCCTCAGAGCCAAAAGCCCACGTAAGCATTCATTGAAACGATGTACAGGAATACCCAAAAAGCAGATGGCCCCACTTTGACTGTGATGTATAAGGCCAGCGAGGAAGGAGCGCCGGCAACTCGGCATGGGTCACAGGTACCCTGACAGCTGCAGACTGAACAGTCAGAATGAACACGCCATCCCCCGAACAATCAAACTTGGCCTGAACATTCTTTTTTGTTTGGCAGCCTCTCTGAAGCGTACTCCGTGGAGCGACAACCTTGCTCAAGCCCCTCATGGCCCTAGAAGACTCTGGAAAATCATCTGCCGGCAGAGCCCATCCTTGCAGTAGATCAGCCCAGAAAGCCCCATGAAGCCTTTCAAACACTCAAAAAAGCCAAGAAAAGCCAGACTCTAAGCTCTAAGGCCATCCTCCTGGATCTGCAGAGGCGCTTGGGACCCACTCAGGCCCCCGCGACTGCCCCGCCTTCCGTGAATGCTTCTGTCGATTCAATTGTTTTCGGTTCTTGGACTCTTGTCGAGCACTTTGTTGTTTTCCAAGTTTAAGTTGTCAGTCTGTTGGCTTGACATCATTCCAAGAAGTTTTGGAGGTTGTAACTTGGCAATTGAAAAATCTTTGACATTGCAGAGTAAAGCGGACTCGACTCTGAACATGTCCAGATCACAAAACCACTGTTTGTTCGACGTGCAATCTGCGTGTCTGAGCAAGTTTGTCTCCACGTCTCTGAGTTCTCGGTGATACAAACACGAGATACATGTACAGTGCATGCGTGCTGAGAATTGATTTGGGGAATGAAACGTCACGTAAGCCAATATCTGCCTCATTTTTGTCCTTGAATTGTTCGTTTCCAAGCCTTTCTGCCCAGCCACAGAATCTGCGAATCTGCTTCTCGTTGCCATGCAGTTGCCATGCCATTCACAGCAACTCCTCCACTCAACGTTGCCCTGACTCTGCCCTATGCTCGCAAAATGCGTTAGGTGGTTCCGAGGGCGGCCTCCAGCTGGATGCTGCCTGTGTGCCTTGGAGATGTAACACCTCCAAACAGAACACATCAAAACTCGACGCAACAGCAACCTTTCTGGGGCGTCCTCTCCCCAAAAAAAAGTTCGAGATAGAGGGGCCCTGAGACGCCCCGAGGCTGCTTTGTTTTGTGCGGGCTTCTGCTTCTGTTCGTTTTGTCTCCCCTTGTCGGAGTGCCCTCCGCTGATCCTGTGTGGCGGACCTGTTGCTCGTCATTGCGCACCTTCTAGAGATTGCCTTTTTCATAAGCACCACTTGACGAAGTTGACAACGCAAAGTGGAGAGAGCATTTGAGATGTTGTACAGTCCGCTGTATGGAGTTTAAGCCGAGGCGGCCGCTCGAGCTGTCCAGCCTCCCGACAGCAAAATGGCAGCACAGCATAGCAGAGCCTGCGATTTACCATTTTGGCTGATTTTCCCTTGTTTTCACTGCTCTGCGTAGGAAACGACTGGTCCACCATGATGAACCGTGGTCCATCGTAAATCCGGAAAGCTCCGCCCATTTCCCCGTTTCAATAAGGACAAGACCGAAGCCTTGTGAAACGAGATCTCGAATGCCGAGCCTAATTATTTCACTGAGGCTGGCATTGCCTGAAAAACTGGCTACTGCACGGAGGCTGGCCTTCCAGGCCGCGGGCTCTCCTCTTGGGGCTTGTCAGGGCTCTCTCCGGAAGCATCGTGTGCGGGGTTTGAGAGGTTTTGCTTTTTCGTTTCTGATTCTTTGGAGCGGGGGGGGGGGGGGTCTTGGGTCATCCGCTCCATTCAGCCATCGTGCTCGGGTCCATACGCCAGCCCTGCCCACATCATAACGATGCAGAAGTCGGCATGGCCTGCCTCGTTGCGGGCCCTGGCTGTCAGCTGCGCCGTCAGCTGCATGTCACTCGGCGCGGTCGGCATGAACAGCCAGCTGGTCGAGGACCTCGTGGCCAAGATGACATTGGAGGAGAAAGTCGGACAGTTGGAGCTCTACTCCCGGCCCTCCGGCTCTGACTTCAATGGCCAATCCCTCGGGTGGAACACCACCGTGAACATGATTCGTGCCGGCCAGGTCGGGGCTTCACTGAAAAAAGCAAGGGGTGCCCTTAAACAGTAAATGCAGAAGAAGCCAAGACAGAAACAGACAGAGACAGACAGAGACAGACAGTGACAGACAGAGACAGACAGAGACAGACAGAGACAGACAGAGACAGACAGAGACAGACAGAGACAGACAGAGACAGACAGAGACAGACAGAGACAGACAGAGACAGAGACAGAGACAGACAGAGACAGACAGAGACAGACAGAGACAGACAGAGACAGACAGAGACAGACAGAGACAGACAGAGACAGACAGAGACAGACAGAGACAGAGACAGACAGAGACAGACAGAGACAGAGACAGACAGAGACAGACAGAGACAGACAGAGACAGACAGAGACAGACAGAGACAGACAGAGACAGACAGAGACAGACAGAGACAGACAGAGACAGACAGAGACAGACAGAGACAGACAGAGACAGACAGAGACAGACAGAGACAGACAGAGACAGACAGAGACAGACAGAGACAGACAGAGACAGACAGAGACAGACAGTCAGAGACAGACAGAGACAGACAGAGACAGACAGAGACAGACAGTGACAGACAGAGACAGACAGAGACAGACAGAGACAGACAGAGACAGACAGAGACAGACAGAGACAGACAGCGACAGACAGAGACAGACAGAGACAGACAGAGACAGACAGAGACAGACAGAGACAGACAGAGACAGACAGAGACAGACAGAGACAGACAGAGACAGACAGAGACAGACAGAGACAGACAGAGACAGACAGAGACAGACAGAGACAGACAGAGACAGACAGCGACAGACAGAGACAGACAGACAGAGACAGACAGAGACAGACAGAGACAGACAGAGACAGACACAGACAGAGACAGACAGAGACAGACAGAGACAGACAGAGACAGACAGAGACAGACAGAGACAGACAGAGACAGACAGAGACAGACGTGCTCGTACTTGTACGTAAATGTTTGGTGAAGACGCAACGGCATACCTTGGGAGCCTGGCTCGCAGCCTCCCGTTGCCCTCGAGCTGCGCTCTGTTCCTTTCTTGTATCTAAGGGCCCTTGGGTAGCCGCGCTCGTAGCTCTCTGGCGGGACGTAGGAGGTCTGTAGAGCCATGGCCGACTGTGCTCCTGAAGCCTTTCCCGCTGGAGGATGGGCCTTCTTGAGCTTCAGTCCTTAGGCTCCTTGCTGTCTGTACCTGCCGCGCAGGTCTCCACGATGGCTTGCCTGACTCCGTGCTGCTGCGCCCGCAGGTGCTTCGGCATTGGAGCTTCATGCTCAGCCTGACGCTGGTGATGCCTCTGCCCCAGGGCAGCCTGCTGGCTATGTCCTTAATGGTTCTGAGCTCACTCTGCATTTTCCTGCAGGGAAATGTGGCTTGATCTCATCTGCGCCCCAGGTCCACTGACTGGAGTTGCTCTTCCTGCAGGTCATGATGTTCCGGTGCTGCTCGCAAGTCTGCACCTTCTTCATGCCTGCCGTTGTGACTGCTAGTTTTTTTTCATGTTACACTACTTCATGTTTTTTTCTGTATCGCAGCTGCTTTCGGCGCATCTATTTTGGCAACAGGGTGAATCTTAGATCCTCATGTCGTCTCGCTCCGGTGTTGGTGCTTCAGGGCCCGCTGTGCTGCCATTAGGCGGCTCTTCGCGCGCTGGTCGCTCATCTGCTGCTCCACCCTCACCTGGGCAGCTCTTGTCTGGCCTTCTGGACTTCTCAGATGCAGACCTCTGCTCAGCAGTTCGTGACTTGTCCCATGCTGATGCCTTGCGCCTTTGGGACATCTTGGGCTCCAACATGTTTGATCGTATGGTGGTCCTGTCTGGTGCTTCTACTTCTGATCAGCAGAATGCCGCACAGGCTCCTACTGGTGACCAACTTGGCTTGCCGCCTTCGGATGCTTCTGGTCTGGACCTGTCTGCCCCCTCGCATGCGCAGTCTGGTGGAAACTATGCTGTTGATTGGTCTGCCTGGTCAGATACGCCTGAGCCTCCTCTGTCTGGTGGCAGCGTTTCTGTGCAGGATCTCCCGCCGGAAGGCCAGTAACATCCTCTGAGGGTTGGCGGCTTCGTGTACTGCTTCCTCGTACGCCTGGTACAATCCACCGGCCTGGCTGGTGGCCTTACGCCAACATCTTCGCCATCGCTCCAGAGGAACACCCTGCCTGGTTATCACCGCAACAGCTGCCGTCGGGTACGCAGCACTTGACGCTGCGCGGCTATTGCTCTTGTACTGGCTTGCAGCACAAAGTGCAGTGTGGAAAGTGCATCGGGCTGTGTCTGCGTCCAATCGCAAGAGGTGAGTCTGGACATGACACCCATTTCTGCCTGCACTGTCTGAAAGCAGACGTGCACAAGCTCAAGCCCTGACTGTGATATAGCATCGCTGCTGGCCTGGGGTAGGATCTGTCTTTTTCACCTGTGTAGCGCCGGCGTGTTGGCGCGTTTTGTTGCGACAGCCTGGTCTAGTACTCTGTGCTGTGGCCTGTCAGTTGAAAAAGTCTGTTCTGCCCTTGGGATCAGCAAGTTGCGCTGCGCAGTCGTGATTTTTAGCGTGTCTCATGTTGCTTGCTGTCTGCGTGTTCTGCTCTGCCAGGTTCACTCAGCACCAGCTTCTCCTCTTACGGCTCGGTCGCGCTCCCCTTCTCGGACATCGCTGCGTTCTACTACGACCGTGTCTGCAGCCCTTGGGGGAGGGGAGGTCGCTGGGTCTGTTGCGCCCTCCAGCGTGCCATCAGGTCTCTTGCCTGATTCTCCGTTGGAGGTCCATGTGCCAGGCTCGCCTTGCCCTTCGCCCCTTCGGGTTTCGCCCAGCCACTTCTGCCTGCTCAAGCCGGCTTTTCGCTTGGGCTTGCTGGGTCTTTTCCTCCTTCATCCCCGGCTCTGTCTGCGTCGATTTTTTGTGCAAGGGCCCCTGCGCTTGTGACGCTGCCCGCTGGCCCAGCTCCTGCGCCGCCCTTCTCGTTGCCTTCTCGTTGGCATCATGGCACTCTGTCTGCGTCATACAGGCCACGCTCTTTGTTGGTGCCGCCCACGCTTGGGCTCCTGCCCCCCATGCCAACTGATCCTTTAGCTATGCCTCGCTCTCGGGCTTCTTTTCCGGTTTTGTCTGCCGCCCCGTGTGCTGCCCCTGCAGAACCATGTCGCGCGCGTGCTCTTGTCTGGAATCGCGCCTCGCCTGCAAGGTTGCCTGTGGCTTTCGGGTCTGCTTGCGTGTCCGCTCCTGATGCTTCTTCCTTCTGGTCGCCGCGCCTTCCCATGTCTTCTGCAGCTGCGGTTTCTGTCTCCCCTGCGTCCATGACTGCGTTACTTGACGCTGCGCGTCATGCTCTTGACCAGCGCTGGTTTCAGTTTCTGCAGGAGCTTTCTGGCTCTTCTCCTCTGGCCCTGGAGGTGAACGCTGCGTCTGACCCGTTTTTCCAGGCACACCGTTCCATTGCCAAATTTGCGCCAGCAACGTTGGAGCGGTACTTCGACGTGTGGGATGCATGGTGCAAGTTCTGTCACGCTCATGGTATCCAGCCGCACTCCCCTCCTCCTGGTGCGCTTCCAGACTGGCTGGCGTCTCAGCAGAGTCGTCAGGGTCTGGCTACTATGCCTCTGCGTTCGTTGTCGTGGTTCGCGCGCCACGCTGGCCTTGCCTCCTTGCGCATTGCGTTGGATAGCCCGCTGTGCAAAGCTTTTGCAGTGCCATCCTGCCCGACAGAGCGACGTGAGGCCTTGCCATTCAGCCTTAGCTTCTGTCTCTGGCTTGAATGTCTGGTTTTGCATGCGGACACTTCTGCAGCTGATGTTCTGCGTTGCGGTTTTTTCCTCATCTGCGTCTGGGCTTCTCTGCGCTGGGGTGATGCGCTCTGGTGCCCCCCTGACAGGTTGCACCTCCAGGTGGATAGCTGTGCATTGGTTGGCGTTGCCATTCGTACCAACGACGTCCCGTGGTATGCCGTGGGGCTTGCTTTTGTCTGGCCTGTCTGGCTCTTCTGCCCAGTCCTGGGCTGTCCGCTTCTTTAACGCGCTCCAGCAAGCAGTGGCTGACACGCGTCGTTTGCAACCAGGTCGCATGTTGGACTTCACGCCTGCTGTCCTCGGTGGTTCTCCGGATCGCCCTGTGCTGCTTCGGCCGTGGCCCCGTGCTGATGCTGTCATCTGGCTGCGCCGTATGCTGCTGAAGCATTGGAAGTCGGCGGCTCCTCACTCGCAGCCCCCTGCTGCCCTTGGTCGCATCACAGCTCATTCTGCTAAGGCCACTTTGTTGAGTTGGGCGCGGCAACTGTCTCTGGACAATGAGGCCAGGCGTATTCAGGGACATCATCGTCTGTCTGGCGCTACTGCTGAGGTGGTCCTGTATGGTCGTGATGACATTCTCCCCATGTTGGAACTCCAGCGAGCTGTGGTGAATTCCCTGCGTTCCGGGTTTCGCCCTTTGCAGCCACTTTGGAGACAGACAGAGACAGACAGAGACAGACAGAGACAGACAGAGACAGACAGAGACAGACAGAGACAGACAGAGACAGACAGAGACAGACAGAGACAGACAGAGACAGACAGAGACAGACAGACACAGACAGACAC